TCTCTTCACGAACTTGACCTACCAGGACGTGTGGCCGAAGAGCTTCCAGCGGAGTGTTGAGTCGAGGGATGATGCGAGTGTCCTCAAGGCTTTGATGTCGATTCGTGATAAGATGTCACGCCGCAGGATCTGGTAAAAGCATGCTATAGATGGGAAGCCCAAAGCGATGACTGTGGATAATATTCTTCATATATTATATTTTCCGACATACGCACGTCATGTAATAGAGTCTATTGTATTTTTGCAAGGAATTGTATAGTAATTGAACTTGTACCAAAACAGCGCTTCATAAAGACCGGAACGTTCCAAAACAGGTTTCTAGCTATTATTGACAATTACTCAGTAGCCTGATGGTGACAATAGTATAGAGTAGAGGCAAGTACCGTTTATTGTTTTGGTAGTGGAGTAAATCAACAATGCCCCACAATGATCCGCTGGTTTGATTGGATAAATTGTCCACTGTTGTCATGATCTGAGCCGCGGGCCTCAAAACATCGCCAGTTTCCTTGCTTCCTGTCCCGGGGCACTAGCCTAGGAGGCATGGTATTTAGCTACAGGGCAGTCAGTCCTATTGATCTGTCGAAGCCAACCTACCGCTTCTAATGGATTGAAGTGGATATATTAAAGGGAAAGTCCCTGAACCAAGAATGTCTGCATGAGTCTCGGCCAACAGAGTTTTCAATCAACGACTACTACCGCGCTTCACGTTACTAAATACCCTCAATTAATCAATGCGCACTACTCTGGACGATCTACCTTGAGATTATCTTTAAACTTACACCTTACCCTCCCAATCTTTCTCCCGTTCTTTTACCCATTTGTTTTACCGAGTGATTCCTGGCTCCTTCAGCACCCGGCACACAACATGGATCAACCAACTCATACCATCGACCCCGAAGGAGATGTCATCATAGTCCTAAGCAATGCCAACTCTCCCTTCGCACCAGATGATTATGAAGACCCAACTGCAAAAAAGAACTCTGACAGCGACTCAAAACCCTCTGATGAGGAGGAGGACCAACACCGCGAAAAGCGACCCCGACTTGTCGAAGAACAGCCCTCCGAGACGCCAACCGAAGATGGACACCTCAGCGAGACACCAAATGAGGAATGTTTCCGCATTCAAGTCTCCGCGAAGCACTTGATACTTGCGTCCCCAGTTTTCAGAAACATACTCACTGGTAATTGGAAGGAAAGTGTCAGTTATCTTCAAAAAGGCTCCGTTGAGATTACTGCCGAGAGCTGGGATGTTGAAGCCTTCTTGATATTTCTTCGCGCGATTCACAGCCAACAGAGCCAAATACCTCGAAAACTCTCTCTGGAGATGCTTGCCAAAATTGCGGTTCTGATCAACTACTATGACTGCAAGGATGCCGTGTCTATTTTGACGGAACTGTGGATCAATGGTCTGGAAGACAAGATTCCCGCAACATATTCCCGGGATCTAATGCTGTGGCTGTGGATCTCTGCGTTCTTCAAGCTTTCTTCACAATTTCAAACATCGACATCGAACGTTATGACACACTGTGATCATTTAATTACTAACCGTGGGCTTCCAATCTCTGAGAACATCATCAGTAAGGATACACAAACGCTAAATGGCTTTTATTTCTAATATTATTACAGACGTAATGAATGAACATAGGAGTGGAGCCATTAATCAGATCTTACTCCGTCTGCATAAGATGCGTGAAGATCTTCTCGACGGCAGTCGAGGTTGCGACTTTGAGTGCAGATCGATGACGCTCGGGGCTCTAACGAAGCATATGCATTCTAATGCTTTACTTCCACTAGAATCCGAGGCTCCTTTCTCAGGACTAAGTTACGCTGGGATTTTTTGGAAGATACAGACTTTTAAATCACCAGAATGGTACTCTGCCACCCGTGATTCTTATTACAGACTTAAAGCCGACTCCTCCCCTCATGGTTGTCAGTCTTCTTCCCTCCATACTGTTATCCAAGGAATGACAAAGTCTATCAATGGCCTTAGTTCATCGATTATGGACCTATGATTGACCCAGAGAATAAAGCTGAACATTGCGTCCCTAGAAGCCATGTTCAGCTTTTATCGACGGTCGACAAGAACAGCAATAAATTTCTGTATTTGAGGAATCTGCCTCAAACATGCAGCCATCTCACTATTCAATGCGCCAACAAGCAGCCCCTGGATTGACCTACATATTTAGATATGCTTACTGTGTATGATATGCTAATACCAAGAGCGAGAAAGAAAAAAGAAGAAAAAGAAAGAAAGAAAGAAAGAAAATGCCAGCTCCTGCTAGTTACAATGAAGAGCGGAGGAGTAGAGCAACAGTATGTTTTAGGCTTCCACCTACCTATCTAGAACTGAATGGGATAAGAATGGCTTAGGTTAAATTTCTCCGTGAACGCAACTAAAAGAGTTGGCTGGAAGGCTAACTGATTTGACCAATATATATTTTAGTAACAGCTCAGTGTAGAAAACGCTAGAGCTCAGGCATCATATCCCAAGGTTCTTGCGCTCTTTTAGTCCAAGAGGTACAGGTAGTTTGTATTAAGATAAGCCAATCTACTCAGATATATTACTTATAGTTCAATCAATTATTTTATAAACAGATTTTCAATGCCAGGCGCAGGTCTGGGATCTCCCGATAAAGCCGAATATGCGAGACCTCGGACGGCACTATAGCCACCCGATCTTCTCCGCACGGACCGTGGCTACGCGTGTCTCTAGCCACTAACACCATAGTCGAGACGATTACGAAACCATCATTCATGGCCAGGATTGCGCAAGACATTTGACAGATGCGGGGTTCCCATCTCGCCATCGATGCTGATACGAGAGTGGTTGCTGTTGGAGAATTGTTGCATAAGTCGGGACGGCAATTGCGTGATGGCCGGGAGTTATGCTTATCAGCCCCATCCCGGTTTCCATATATCTCAGCCAATGTCCCCAGTTGCAAACTAGATTAGAATCACAAAGCATTCATTCCCATTCAACTGGTATCGGGCTTATTACACTGTAAATATCATGGCTCCTGGACTATCTGCAGATCTCCCCATTCACTCGCACCCCGCATCCAGTGGGGATGGCCCGACTGACCAACCACGGTATCCCGCTCCACTGAAGCCCAGTGGTGCTTTGGATGAGTTCGCATTCGAAGAGACAACCCCAGTCATTGGCCGTGAATACCCCACCGTCAACATCGTCGATGATCTCCTGAACGCTCCCAACTCCGATGAGCTGGTGCGCGACCTTGCCATCACGAGTACCTCTCCCAATCTACCCCAACTGTATCTCCCCCCCATCACTAACCATGACCGACAGTCTCCCAACGCGGCGTCGTCTTCTTCCGCGCCCAAACCAACCTCACCGACGACCTCCAGAAAGTCCTCATCCACCGACTCGGCCAACTAACCGGCAAACCCTCCACCTCCACCCTGCACATCCACCCTTTGCTGAACAACACCAACGAGTTCGGCACCGCAGACGCCGAAATCAGCACAATCAGCTCTCTCGCCCGCAAGAAGATGTTCGTCCACGATCGCCAACCCGACCGTCGTCGCTATGATTCGGCCCAATGGCACTCCGATATTCAATTCGAGCCCGCACCAGCTGATTACACCTCTCTCCGACTAACCCAGCTTCCCAAAACCGGTGGGGACACGCTCTGGGCATCTGGGTACGAGCTCTACGACCGGTTTTCGAAAACATACCAAAAGTTCTTCGAAGGCTTGACAGCGACGTTCGTGGGCGACGGCTTCCTCAAGGCAGCAGAGAGAAATCCCAAGGAGTACAAGGTCTACACTCAGCCTCGGGGAAGTCCGCTCAATGTTGGTGAGGAGCTGGTGGCTGTCCATCCGGTCGTGCGGACGAATCCGGTGACGGGGTGGAAGAGTATCTTTGCGTTGGGACCGTTCCCGAAGTATATCAATGAGCTGAACCAGAATGAGTCGGAAGAGTTGTTGAAGAAGTTCAAGTCGATTATTATTGAGAGTCACGATCTGCAGGTCAGGTTCAAGTGGAAGAATGAGCATGATATTGGTATGTTCTATGCACTTGCTGTGTTGTTTATTTTGTGTCTAACGCTCGATAGCTATCTGGGACAACCGGAGTGCTTTCCACACAGCTACTTTTGATTATGAAGGCCTTGGTGAGAGATTCGGGCACCGTGCGGTCGGTATTGGAGAGAGGCCTTACCTTGACCCGAACAGCAAGTCCAGGACCGAAGCGCTGGCAGCTGAGGGTCTTCTTTGAGGTTATTATCATGGTTATTTGTGTGCGTAAGTAATTGAAGACAGCTTGATGTCGACGGCGGCAGTGTCTCTATCTGGTTAGGATGATATGCTAGTATGATATATACACTACTGTTTGCTTAGATGCAGAAGACTACACCTTACGTCAATGATTTTGTCGGTAGATCCCCTTTTACCATAAGAGAAAAAAAAGTAAAAGAAGAGAAAAAAGAAAAATTCAACTTTTCTTGGTCACATCGATCTCAACAACGTACATAGTATTTTTCTGTGTCTTTAGAACTTGTACCCGTAACAACTACCCACCTCTGAATATATACATGAATGGAAGGTACATTCAAAGTTCAGAGTTTGTCCAACTTGATTTTCGATTTTCTCGTTCTTGTCTTTTCTGAGTCCTTCCTCTAATTCTACTATTTCCCTTTTAACTTTTATGAATATTATTCTCCCTTCCCTGTTTTGCATGATGTGCTTCGATAAAAACATGGTTTTCCTGAAGCTCATACAGCGGGACGAGAAAAAAAAAAACACGAGAAAAAAGATAATGAGCCCAGCCCGGCTCGATCGGACAACCTTACGGAGTCGTACGCGCTACCCATTTGTTGTGATGTTAGGTTATTAAAGTGCTTAATGTAAAGCAATTACACAGGGCAAAAAGGACTGATGCGAACGCGTGGGCGTTTCTCAACCATCAACGAGGAAGGAAATTGGGCAAAATCCGAACTTGGGCAAAAAAACAGATGAATATGAGTTTCTAACCACTGGATACTTTTCTTGGAAGAAATTTTGATCAGTTCTGTCCACCACTGCGTTCAACCTCCCTCAACCCAACCTGATACTCGACCTTCTGCTCCAATTCACTCTCCGTCGACGACTCATACTTTTTATTTATATCCTCCAACTCTAATTTCCTCGTTTCCGGAATGAAGAAGTACCCAAAGATGACAGAAACAGCAGACAGTGACCCATAAATGAATCCCAGCTTACCACCAATATCCACATGGCCGGGATCGTCTGCGGTTTCGAGATAGGGGTAAGAGAAAGTCACGGCGAACCTGACAATCACAGTCTGTCAGCTTTCATGATCTTGAACGAATATGTGCAATAGTATATTGAAAAAGGATGGGAACGTACTCAGTAACCAGCTTAACAGTATACGCGATCCGCAAAGTCATTTCTCTCAACCCAGCCGAAGGTAACTCCGCACCGAGTACATACACCAATGGCGCCCAGGCAAGAGACCAACCAAAGCTGTAAAGAAGCAGCATGGCGACGATGCCTTCTTTGGCAGCCTTGTTACTGGGGTCTGCGGTGCCGAGACCGCCCATCGTCATTAAGGAGGCGGTTTCAAGAAGGCCGCTTACGTGGAAGAGCATTCTGCGGTTGGAGTTTGGTGTTAGTGAATGCTATACCAAGAGAATGAAATATGCTCTCACCTTCGTCCAACCAGATCACTCAACGCCGTCGAGATGATCAACGCTCCAATATCAGTCGCGTTAGTACCAAGCGTGACACTAAACGCATTGACCGATTTCAACTGCTTCACGAAAAGCGTCCCATACTGACTCGCAAACGCCTGCCCCGAAGCCTGCTGAAAGAAGTTCGCAGCGGCGACAACGAACGTTCGTTCTCGATTTCCCTTAATGAAGAGATCCTTGAAGCTTTTCTTCTGCAGCTGGGCCGTGACTTTCTGCGCCATTTCGTCAAAGTCCTCTTGTATCTCATGCTCGGGGGTGTTTTTCGATCGGTATCGTTTCAACGCTTGAAGTGCCTCTTCCTGTCGGTCGCGGAGGAGCAGCCATCGTGGAGACTCTGGTATTATCCAGACGAGCCAGATACAAATGAATGGGATAACCAGAATCAAGCCGAAGGGGATTTGCCATGCGGCGTTTGTTGAAATGCCCGATGTGCCTCGTGCGATGCCGGTTACTACTAGGCCTCCGATTTTGATGCTGAGCCAGTATAGGACGCCCATGGCGCCGCGGACGTTTCGGGGAGCGAGTTCGGCGAGGGTGGTTGGGATTACGGCTAGTTGCATTCCTAGGTAGATGTCTGTAGAGGTTAGATGGTGGTTTGTATTCTGGGAGATGTAAGGAAATACTGACAGTGTAATGCGCGACCGGTTAATATTTGTACGTCTGTTTTGGAGCTTACCACGACTGCTGCACTGCCTAGTGCGTAGAGGTTCATGCTGAAGATGCACCATTTCCGACCATAGGTATTGCTAATATAGCCTCCTAGGAACACGCCTATCGCAAACAAATTAGCAAAACACTCCATAGCCCTGGAAAGTACGACTCTCACCGACAATCTGCGTCCCCGCCTTTAAACTATTATAAAGCGAAGTAAACAACGGCTTCACCTTATATTTCCCGGTACTGGGATGATAAACCCCAAACTGACGAGCAAACGAATCCATAGCCTGACACGAAGAGAACGCCTGATCGCTAAACCCATAATTAAACGCCGAAACTGCCAGCAGCACGGTCGTGAAAATGAGCATCCGGCTCCATTGTTTCTGAGATGCCATTTGGAGGCAATCTAACGTTGAAATGATTACCCTTCCAGAAACATCTATCAATCAATCAATCAGATAATCAAAGGCCGAGATAATCAGATATGGTGTAATCAGATCATCAGATAATGGTGGCGAACGGATGGCTTGGCTTTATATGTCGCAAGGTTTGCAACGTGGGCGGGATGGCGGAGGGCTTTTCTCCCCCGACCCTCCCCGACCGGTGAGATAATGAACGGGCTAGTCCAGTAAGACTTGCAGCCTGCATCGGCTATCATCGCTCGATTTAGTATCGGTGGCATGGTTCCGTGTTTGAGGGTTTATCCATCATCTCGGGCTTACGAGGCTGTGAGGGATCGGCCTTTTACAGATCCCACGCTGATCATGGTAGTGAGTGACCAATCATTATAACCATTATGTCTGATTGCTTCCAAGTGACACAGAAACATGGCGAACACTATGCATAGTACGCTTTGATCTTCTTAATGCCTTCCCCATGCTGCTTTCCCCCTTAACCGCGTTTTCCTACGGCGTACCCCGATTAATCTCTTATCTTTCTCCGGGTCTTCCGGTACTGGTACCGTACTGCGTCCTGCAGGCTTGCCTTCTCAGACAACATTGTCTCATCCCTCCACTGCACATATAATATCTATGCTTCGCCTGTATCAATTGAACGAGAGTTCCAGTCTATGAACAGCTCATATATTCAAAACAAAGACATCGAACCACTTTCTCCATACTGCCAAGCTTGCCAAGCTCTTGTATAGGGCTGTAGGGCTGTAGGGCTGGTGCCAAGTCTCAAGACCCTTTCTTTGTTCCCATCAGCGACGGGTGGTTATTAATACGGTTTCCCGAATTCAATCCCATCTGAATACCAGGAGTTGGTTCCATTCCTGCCCGGAGAGAGATTATCCGGAGTCAGCGCACTTTAATGAAAATTTGAAAAATGAGGGGTAACGCATAATCTCGGATTTACATGGTTCTTTTCTTAGCTGCGTCTTTTGTTGGTGGACAACACACACACACACACATTGTATCCCAATTGCTCCCGTGTGCTGGTAAACCATGTTTCACAAGTTTTACAACTTGGTAGTTGGAGTGATTTGGAGATCAAGTCGGAGATTTACGAGCAAATAACTTCACTGTAAAACCGAGGATATTCACACCCGGGTCCACTGCAGTGGCAAGGTATTCGCTCTCCCGGGCAGGTCACATTGGGGGCTCGCTTATACCTGCCACCATATAACACATGGCAGACGGCCCCCATTATGCGTGGGGTTTCTCCCCTGCACTTGCGAAGAAGGATCTGACGGACTCCACATCGCCGACCATCCTCCAAGTCAGCTTGGCACTGCTTATATGGAGTAGCCTGAGGCATCTTTAGGCGGCAGTCATGATTGATTGATCGTGGGGAGAAAGCTCTCATGAACCAATGCATTGCAGGTGAATAGTACCAAATCTCACACCGGACCAGGAAACAAGGGCCATACTTATGATTGACACGTCTTAGTGTTACCCATGTCCTGCACAAAAAGTCCGAACGGACCGTTGCGAAAGCCCGGGCGGTGGTGTGTTACTCAAAAAAGGGGATTCCTATCTATGTGCAGACTAGTCAGGATAAACGTGAGCCTAACCCTAGTAAATCCGGGGTAAATAGTACAGAGAAGTCTGCATGGTCCAGTAATTGGTGTTCAGGACCTGGGTTTGATTAGCAACATTGTAGTAGCACGTATGTCATTGTATACGCAGGACCTGCACCCAAGTTCCACTGCAGTATGGGGTATGTTGGTTTATGGTTACTTGTGTTGCACGAATTTCATATTCTGTGTTCCATTTCACTACCATCATGAACCACATCTCCGTGAAATCAACACAGGCATGACAGGTTATATAGTCCGTATGAGAGCCATATCATCACTGCAGTCTCCTATGTCCTTATGCCAATTGAGTTGAAACACTACATCCACAATGCGCTTCCCAATCCTCACTCTCGCACTCCTCTCTGCTTTCCTAACTCTCCCCTCCATAACTCTCGCCCACCCAGCTCTCAGCACAGAACATCTCCAGCCCCGCGGCCAAAGCACCCTCACATTCCTCAGCTCAATTTTCAACAACGGGATGAGAATCTTCAGGCTAGACAAAACCGTGCGCTACTTTACACCTGAACGTCTAGACGACGTCAAGACTCGTTCCTCAGAAGCACTCCAAAGCCTCGATGAAGCCATAGCGACTGGAAAATCTATCGGTCACTTCGATCCTGCAAGTAGTCATGCCATTGCTGCGCTGTGTATACCCCTGAAGGTGGTTTATGGAAACATGATTAAATCTATTCACGATAAGGTGTTACGGTTCTTTCCTTGACGCTCTTGTTGAGAAGATAGTATGAATTCCAGTGCTAATGATCATCATCAACAGCGCGAGGAGCTAACCGCGGCGAAATACAAAGACGAGATGATAAAGACGCTAGAAGCTCTTCGGGTGAAGAGTCGGGAGCTTGCCGAACTGGTGAAGAAGATACTCACTGAGCCTGATGGGTCATATTGTCTGTACCTAGAAGATTTTGTTGATAAGCGGTATGCGAAGACGATTGACGAATACAAAGGAATCATTAGCGGTGATTCGGATGATGTGGAGGGGGATATCTGGAATGTGGAAGACTGAAAGACCGAGAATGGTATGTGGGAATTGCCCATGGAGGGGTAGGTCATCTGGAGGGCTAATTAGCAGCTGAATACGACATGGGGATCCCACCAGCTTGATACATAAAAATTGTTAGCGAGAAGCAGGTACTTTTGGACTACATGAAGAAAAGATGCCACAGTTTCAAGCTACCTGACTCATGTATGCGTGCATAACTAACTGGTATAGCTTGGACTGTGCCGCCGATACCGGTCCTGGTCACCGGCCATTGAACTTGGCCCGAAAATCCTAACCCACTGTGTATGTTCATGATGCTTTTCACATGATTTCCAGAAACTCACTTCAAACTTTAACAACCCCCAAAAATAGTCCTATACAATTAACCATCTTGTTCTCGCCCAAACTATGATGCGCAGATCCCAGCCACAAAGTATGACGTAGCCACAGCAACACAGGCCAAACTCCGCTCACCGCCCAGTCACCGCCTTTTAATATACGGGAAAAATTGCTGCCTACGTAGCGAAAAGTCTCGGCCGGCGCATAGACCAACCTGGCAGCTAAGATTTCACACAAAAAGTCAAACAGTCATAATAATTGTTGCCATGGGATATCTACATATACACAAACAAAAAAAAAGAAAAAGTAAATATTAATCAATAGTCGCAATTCATGAATGGCCCCGTCGATACGCCGAGAGCGCCCGTAATGGAGATAGCCCGGGTTGCGAATTTTACCGAGCCGACCAACAACACATCAGGAGACAGATGTCGGTGTCAATTGAGGTGCTTATTTGTTGGCCAGGATGTAGCTATGACACACGTCAGCTTTTGTTGTTTTCGGTTGAATGTAAGGCGGGAGGAAAGGGCAGCAACACATACTAGGCGTGGATGACACCTGGTACCCAACCCAGGATACACAGACAGATGTTGATGAGGAGATCACAGCTGCATCCGGTGCGCATGAAGACACCCACGAAGGGGAGGAAGAAGGCGATGATGATTTCGCAGCAGCCGCTGTTGTGAGATTTGATTAGTATCATTCTCATAGACAGTGTGTAACAAGGGAGTGCATACACTTTTCCGGGCATGATGGCGGTTTGTGTAGTGTGTTGGTAGAGGTTTCTTGGGGAGATGGCAATTGAGCTTGTCTCGAGGATAGTAGAGTGACCAAAATTTCAGAATCTGGACGATGAAGAACAAACAAATGGTGGACGATCAGGGGATTTAAAAAGACCATAAGGAACGAGGAGTTGTGACGTCACCGCTTGATGCTGCGTAGGGCTGAAAGTGGAGCTGACTCGCACGCCGTAAGAATGAATGCCCATCAGGATATGTCGATGACCATGTTTTGATGTAGCCTGATAGTCTTGCGCAACCCTTGTCGATCCTGCGTCATGGTACCTTTATCTTTTCGTTGTCATTCTGTGTGGTTGTTTCATGGTATGTTGTGGCCTGACTGGAAATCAACGACGTGGCTACTGCGACGGGCGCGTACTTTGTCGCTTTGCTCTAGGGAGTTACTTCGGCTCATTAGAGTTAATCAAATACGAGTACGAGTGCAATAGTGCATGACTACATACTATATGATTGGTTCGCTTGATTGACCCGCAATAGCTTATGCTCTTGTATCGCTTATATAATTAAGCACATAAAGTGCATAGAATAATGCATAGCTTCTACGCTGTATCTTCAGGCCATACTACCTTCCTGGCTTCGAGAGATAATTCTAGAAATTCTTTATGATACCAGCATATATCTCATTTGACTTGGCTGCAAGACATCGTAAACACAGGGTGACAATCGAGTGCAATCCAAATGTGGGTCTTACTACTCCTCCCTACATCAAATATATATATTGTTGGGCTAGTGTGTTGTTCCAGTTCCTAACTCCAGCCAGGTGGATAGTAGTAATTCCAATGGAGCATAACGTGCCAATGACTCATGCGCGACAGTAGCACACTACAGATAAAGAAGCGACAAGGCCAGGGGCTCAGGTAGACCATCAAGATTAAGCTCTGTCGTTGCCAAGGCCAACCCACCCGGTCGGGTTCAACCTTTATCGCACGGGTTCAACTTTTCACGCATCGCCAAGGAGCTCTCCAGGTTTGCGCCCTGCTCTCAAAGAATTTAGCCGCATCAATTAAAGCTTGACAACATTTCATTCAGTCCAAGAGATTCTACCGCTGTCTTCAGGAGCTGCAATAGGGCAGACAGCATAGAAAACCAAATATTATATGAGCTAGCTTCTAGTACTTTAACTTATCTAGTCACGATACAGACACAGATTTAAGAGGGATAAAATACAAGCACTTATTTCACACGACTTTCTTGGCCGCTTCTATATACCATAATAATAGTTAAACATGAACAGGAAATAGACAGCCAAAGGAAATGCTAATTAATCAGATAAAGAAGGGAAAAAGTCCAAGCGAACAGGGATGCCTCCTATGCCCAACGGCCAACTCATCCCATGAATTTGCTGCAGCACATAGCCTCAAGATCATCGCTATTCAGCACCCAAAATGGCCCGCTTTTGGTCCAGGTCCTTGACAGAAAAGCCTCGTAAAACAAATGAGGAATAAACAAAAGAAAAGAAAAGAAAGGAAAAAAAGAAAAGAGAAGGAAAAAAGAAGGATGATCAACGCCTTATACCCGGAAGCTCAATACTACTGCTCCACCTCGTATACAAGCTTAAAACCGCTGACCTCCTTTCGTCGAATCATCTCCAATCCTTCTAGAATGCCGGGAAACCCGCCCGACATGACCTTGGCAGGGTGGTTCTTGAGCTTGCCCTCGAGCAGGTGCTTCTGGGCGCCGGCGTAGAGCTCGTCAGCAAAGATACGCGCATCGGGGTCAGCGTCCCGCCCGTAAGGGGCCATCCAGGTACTGCCGCGACCCTTGACGGTGGAGCCCAGGATCCAGTCGGGCTTGACAACCCTGCGAGTGGCCTGCGCCTCGGGGTAGGGGTCCAGCGCCGTATAGCGACCGCCTGCGCGGCCAATGGCCTCGTAGCACAGCTTCATGGACGAAGTGACGGTGATGCAGTCAATGGCGTAGGCCAGAGCGTTCTTGGTGTAAGACTTGATGTCCTTGGCGCAGTCGGCGGACCGGTAGTCAAAAGTCTTCTCGGCGCCGTAGGAGAGGACCAGCTCCTCGTGCGACGGCGAGCAGGTCGCGATGGGCCGGAAGCCGGCCAGCTTGAGCAGCTGCAGGGCCATGGTGCCTGTCGAGGTGCTACCACCGTTCACGAGCACGTAGGGCGGATTGGCGGCCGTGTTGGGCGCGGTCAATGACCCGGGCAGCTTCATGGAGCGAAACAGGGCAATGCCTGCGGACGACAGAGACGTGCCTATGCAAGCGGCATCGGTGAAGGACATGTCATCCGGAAGACGCAGAGCCTGGGTGGCCACGGTCGAGGCGTACTGGCAGAAGCCGCCACCGCTGGGCCTCTTACGATCCATGCTGTCTGCGGTGCCCAGTACCCGGTCTCCCACCTTGAGATCTTTCCTGGTAACACCGGTGCCAATGGCCACGACGACACCGGCAAAATCGAAGCCGAGAATGGCGTCTGGCACAGCGAAGCCCTTGGCCATCTTGGAATCGACGGGGTTGAGGGCCAGCGCGGCCGTTTTGACAAGCACGGAATCCGGCTCCAGGTCGATCACGGGCACATCGTGCGAGATGCGAAGGGTGCCCTCCTCATCAGCAGCGATGATGGCGGTTTGCGTCTTGGGGATGGGGGCGTGCATTGTGAAGGATGGTAAGGCAGGTGGCGATCTTGGTGATGGTAGTGGTGACGTTGCTGCTGTTCGCTTTTGTTGTTGTTGTTGTTGATACACCCGGGAGAGAAATATAAGGATGATCGGAAATGACAAGAATATGGGAAGAAAGAGAGAAAAGAAGTATAGGAATGGCTTGTAGTCGTCGTAAACCCGCGACAGTATTAAACTCGTACCCAATGTCTTCATAACAACAATATCGACATATTTTTTTTCTCACGCGGTGGTTGTCGACATCAAGATCTATATACACGAGCGCGATCTCGCACAAGTCTGCCTCGAGGGTGGCTGAGATGGGGATGAGAGAGCAACATCTTCGCTCTTCTGGGAATTGGCTTGCGAGGTCACCATCACCGTCTCGTTCAACTGTCGCATTCGGGGCACTTTGCTCTGGGCAAACAAGTCCACATTTCCCATTACGGCAAGGAAAGAGATGGCCGCTCGTATTGGCAAGGGTAAGGATGAAGCGGTTGTCTCAAAGAAGAAACCAGAGGTTAGGGCGGGAAAATCACCCATATCGGGTATCCGGGGAGGCAAGCATTAAAGAGCGGCGAAGGGGTGTTGGGTGAGGGATTGACCGCTAGCGTGAAGGCTTAATTTCCGCCGTCTACTTTTATAATCAGCGCTTGCGACCACCTCCATCCCGTAGGATTTGGCCCCAAAAAATCCCGTAGGATTTGGCCTCACCAATCCCGTAAATTCGTTACGTCCGTATGTATGTGTATCCTCACAATCTCCAGAATTGCTGGTGTTCTTGTGGCGTTTCTTTCGACACTTGGCGTGGTGTGCCGAGCATCTGCCAGCCAGTGAACGATTTCGCGGCGTGGCAGAGGCACGGTTCGGATCTACCCTTGATGCTTAATCGTACATACAGCCAGACCGGAATTCCTCGCCGAGACTACATTACATCTCATCTCTCAGGACCGTGCTGCTACAGGACGATGCTACGGCATAAGGCTCCCCACCTTGAAACTTGAGAGTAAATGCAGTGTATCTGAAACTCCAACAGCAACCGTCGCTCGCCCATCTGCCGCTGTAGTAGTGTCTTCGTAAGACTAGCAGGTGTATGATTGTGAGGGATCATAATTGGCCCCCAATTACACCTTCTATCGTGCGACTAGAACTTCCGATATTAATTAATATTCTATAGGGCCTTGTCCACCGCCGCCACCAAGCAAAACAAGCGAAAATCCTACTGGTCGTTTATCTATGAAGGTCGTATTCTGCAGACAACCCTATTCGCTGGCTCTTCCTCGTGTTCACTATCTGACCCCACTTTCGCCGGTCCCATGGGGCCAAAAAGTCAGGGCCAACGCGAGATGTCTCAACTAAGGCGAGAGGGCTGAGTCAAGACGAGAAATTCGGGTGGACCCGGTGCCCTGCGTCCTGCGAGGTAATGGTGTGACTGAAGAAGCTGACAAGCCTAACGCAAGATTGCCTCGTGGATTCCTCTGCCTCCATCGCCGAACCGCAGGGACTCCACAAGCCAATCCGAGACCATGTGTCAGCTGCACATGGTAACTACTGTGGGTCTCTCAACATCACTAAGCCGGATTGGGAAGCTCTGAAAGAGGTCGGAGTTAAGGAAGCAAATTCATCATGTACTAGAACTATCTGCTGATACGAGTATCCGTGGCTCAGCAACGATCTGTGGGGATGTGGAGACACGGATACGGGAATAACAGATCTTGTGGATACAGGTATCATCTACATCCTGTCCAATGATACTTCCTGGGCCAGTTCTTTCCTCATCGGGATACCACTTCCACCATCAAAGGAATCCTGACGGAGTGTCAAGAGTTCTTCACATCATGTCGAGAGCATGGCATGGTTTGCTGGATAAGGACCTGATCGGAAGCTGTCAGGTTTAAAGATAAAACCCTTCCCACATGGCATCTCAGCTCGATCGTCGATCTTGATTGTCACTCCTCACGGGCTTCAGTCCTTTCCCTTTCATTCAACATCATCTGGTCTGATATCTGTACCAAGTCTCACCAGATCTACCAAGTCCTACCCGTTCTTTACCAGGTCTTTCTAGTTGTTTGAACACCAAGTCTTACCAAGTCACTTTTATACTTTTAATCCGAGTCTAGCTACATTCCAATACCTTTGATTCTATTCGACTCAATTACCAGGCAAGTCAAGCAAAATACACACCCCACCTGTACCATTATTGTCCCATCACCCCCGTGAAAATGTCTGCTTCCAAGAACGAGCCCATTGCCATTGTTGGCAGCGCCTGTCGCTTCCCTGGAGATGCCACATCTCCTTCCAAGCTATGGGAGCTGCTCAAGGAGCCCCGTGAGGTCGCCCGGCCTATCGATCGTTTTGCGGCCTCAAGCTTCTACCACCAGAATGGTCACTACCACGGTGCCAGCAACGTCCGCGACGCGTACCTCCTTTCCGACGACCCCCGCTACTTCGATGCCCAGTTCTTCAACATCCCCCCTGGTGAGGCCGACTCCATCGACCCCCAGCAGCGCACCGTCCTCGAGACTGTGTATGAAGCCGTTGAATCCTCTGGCCTGGTGCTCGAGGACATGCGCGGCTCAGACACGGCTGTCTACGTCGGTGTCATGTGTGACGATTACGGCAACATTTGCTACGTCGACCAGGAGGCGGTCCCTACCTATGCCGCCACCGGCACGGCCCGTAGCATTCTGTCCAACCGTGTCTCTTTCACCTTCGACTGGCGGGGTCCGTCCATGACCATTGATACGGCCTGCTCGTCGTCCCTGGTTGCTATTCACCAGTCTGTTCAGGTTCTGCGCAGCGGCAATTCTAACATCGCCGTGGCCGCCGGTGCCAACTTGATTTTCAGCCCGAGTATGTACCTCCCAAAGATCCCCTCCCATCAGAAAATGCTCTCGAAAGCTCGCTAATCCTCACCAAAAGACATGTTCATCGCCGAGTCGAACCTTAACATGCTTTCCCCCACGGGCAAGTCCCAGATGTGGGACGCCAACGCCAACGGTTACGCCCGTGGAGAGGGTATCGCCGCTGTCATCATGAAGCGTCTGTCCGACGCGATCCGCGACGGTGACCACATTGAGTGCGTCATCCGCGAGACGGGCTGCAACCAGGATGGTCACACTCCCGGTATCACCATGCCGAGCCAGGAGGCTCAGACCAAGCTGATTCACGACACCTACCGTCGTGCCGGCTTGGACCTGAGCAAGCCCGAGGACCGCCCTCAGTACTTTGAGGCTCACGGCACGGGTACCAAGGCTGGTGACGGCGTCGAGTCCAAGGCCATCTACCACGCCTTCTTTCCCGAGGGTCAGACCACTGACGAGAGTCTGTGGGTTGGCTCCATCAAAACCATCGTCGGTCACACCGAGGGTACCGCCGGTATCGCCGGTGTCATGAAGGCCTCCCTTGCCATCCAGAACAAGACCATCCCGCCCAACTTGCACCTCAAGACTCTCAACCCGGAGATTATCCCGTACTACGGCAAGCTGCAAATCGCCAAGACTGCGCAGGACTGGCCTGCGCTGCCCGCCGGTGCCGTTCGCCGTGCCTCCATCAACTCCTTCGGTTTCGGTGGTACCAACGCTCACGCCATTATTGAGGCGTACGAGCCCGAGGCCTCTCCCGTGCAGGCTGAGGCTGCGGCCAAGGCTGCTGTCGCCTTGCCCCTTACCTTTTCCGCCACCACGGAGACGTCTCTCACCAACCTCATGGCCAAGTATCTAGAGTACCTGACTGAGAACCCCGATGCCGACCTCACCAATCTGGCCTTCACCCTGCACGACCGCCGTTCCACCTTTGCGTATCGCAGTCACATTGCGGGCCAGTCAGTCAATGAAATATTGCCCAAGCTACAGAAGGCTGTTGAAGAGCAGCAGTCTGGCAACTCGGCCAGCATCGTCCGCGGTACTTCTGCCAAGAAGCACCTGCTCGGTGTCTTCACCGGTCAGGGCGCTCAGTGGGCGACTATGGGTCGTGAGCTGATCCGTGCCTCCAAGTTGGCCCAGGACATCATTGGCAAGCTTGAGCAGTCCCTCGCCGAGCTCCCTGCCTCTGACCGCCCGTCTTGGTCTCTCATGGAACAGCTGATGGCTGATCCGGCCCAGTCTCGCATTGCTGAGGGCGAGCTGTCCCAGCCGCTGTGTACTGCCGTTCAAATCGTCCTGGTCGAGGTGCTAAAGCTGGCCGGCATCACTTTCGATGTCGTCGTCGGCCACTCCAGTGGTGAAATTGGTGCTGCGTACGCCGCCGGATTCTTCAACGCCACTGATGCCATCCGCATTGCCTTCTATCGTGGTCGCTACGCCTTCATGGCAAAGGGCCGTGAGGGCCAGAAGGGTGGTATGTTGGCTGCTGGTACCACTCTTGAGGATGCTCTCGAGCTTGTCGAGCTCCCCGCCTTTGAGGGTCGCGTTTCCGTCGCCGCATACAACTCCGACGCCAGCGTTACCCTCTCCGGTGACCTGGACGCCATTGAGGAGGTCAAGGAAGTCTTGGACGACGAGCGTGTTTTCAATCGTCAGCTCAAGGTTGACACCGCGTACCACTCGCACCACATGATCCCCTGCTCCGCCAAATACTATGAGGCTCTTAACAACTGCAACGTCCAGATCCTCAAGCCCTCTGGTGAGACCAAGTGGTACTCGTCTGTGTACGACGGCAAGCTCATGGAGCCTTGCGAGGAGCTCAAGCACACTTACTGGATCGACAACATGGTTAACATCGTCCTGTTTGCCACGGCCCTCAAGTCTGCCCTCAACAAGGCCGTACCTCAGCCCACCCAGGTCATCGAAGTTGGTCCCCACCCCGCCCTCAAGGGTCCTGCCTCCAACGTTATTGAGGACGTGGTCAAGGCTGCGCTGCCTTACACCGGAACCCTGGCTCGTGGCCAGAACGACGTCAATGCTGTGGCTTCTACCCTCGGTTACCTCTGGGCCCAGTTTGGCCGCAGCTCCGCCGACTGGAAGGGTTACTCGCAGGCCTTCTCCTCGACCATTCCT